AAATGGAAAGTTGACTATCTGTGCCCCCTGAGAAAGAAGGTGCCTGCCTAATAGCGGTTTCAAGACCTAAAGTAGTGGCGGCCATAGTTATACGTAAATTAACAGGGTTATATGAGACTATTTGCCAATTATTACGTGGACTGTCAGACATAAAAATTAGATATTACTTTAACAATAACTTACATAGTGTTCATGTTAGTAAAATGTGGATTAGTCTGGTCCTGGTTGAAACAAAATCCCCTGTGTCGCTGTATGCGTTGAAAAAAACTTCCGTTTGGTTGTCTGGTCTGTCCTGACTGCAAAAATTGATACACGAAGTGGCTCGACGATCTAGCTACGAAACTGCTGGCGCGTAGACCAATTATAAATAATTGGGTTTCTRAAGTAGCGTTCGTAGTATATCAAGAACGTGTTTTTCGAAGTTCGTCAGTGAGTTCCCAAGTTACTTTTTGATAAATCAAAATTTTCACTCGAAGAAACCCCACACCTGACACCAAAAAGTTACGTATGTAGTACTCCCGTACTGCACTTGTACACTTTAATTATTTAATGACGTGCTTCGACTTCTCGTTGTTGATATTTGGTAGAGTCGCTAAGGTGTTGAAATAAGTAAATGAAGTCAATGTTGTATTATATGTTAAAACAGTATGTTTTAATAAAAATAAAGTAACTTAAAAAAATWGTAACAATGTTAATTTAAATTGCACTTGAAATTTGAAGGCAGAGTTTACGCTCGGTACCTGAGAACTACGTGCAGTAAGCTAGTAGAATAATTCTAGTAATTCTAATTTGTGTTCTAAACTAATACCCCTTATATATCCGTGACCTTTTCCGTGGCGTGATCTCAATCAGCCACCTGATAGGCTTACAATTAATATACGTCATACTAGTGCGTACATAGATACAAAAACACATTTGTAATCAATTTATCATTATACATTATAGTTTTATAAAATATGTGTTTCTGATCACGTAGGCCAGAATAAAAAGAACATTGTACAAATGTAATAATACAATACTCGGAAATGCCCGGTACAAAGAGTAAACACGGTTTACTACATGCCTCCCCTGTAAAATTGGAGCCGTAGGTTCCAATTAGTAAATAGGTTTAAGTGATGGATAGAAGGAAGTGGATGGTTGCGATAGTTGAGGTTCTTCTGTGATAGGYGGAGCTGTCGCAGTTGAAGTAGTTGTCTCCTCCAAGTTGATAGTTTCCCTGCTTTGGTGAAGTCTTATTATAGTGTGCTCGGTTTTCATTGTATTGGGTTTTGTTCTTTCTTCACGTTGATTATTAATTTTGATCCATGTAAATACGAAAATTAATATTATAATAGTAAAAATCATTATGTATAATACATAATTATGTATGGTTTGGTTTTCTTTCAACTGAACAAATTTGTGTTTGTTCTCGTTATATTCTTGCAATTGTTTGTGTGTTTTTGAAATTAAATTAAGGTCATTCATGTGATTATTTATAACATTTTCGTCTTTCATGGTATAGAGGTCAAGTGATACGTGTTGGTATTCTTGCCTAGTGATAACAGATGTCGGAATAAAATCTGTAAAATTATTTTCAGAACTGCTGCTTGGTATTAATAAGTCTCGTGTTGCATATCCTTTGCATGTTTCATTTATTGTTATAAYTCCTACTCCTTCTAAAATATGTGTGCTGGCTTCTAAATCATTTTCACAGTTAATTATAATAACTTCATTGTCTGTGGCATATAACCACTTGTTCCTGTAACTTAATTTGTGGAAAATGGTTGCTTGCAAACTTACGTGTCTTATGTCGCATGTATTTGGTACTTCTCTCGGATCTTGTAAAAGTTGAACCTCGCAAATCGGTCRGAGATTCCTAGGATGGAGAGATTGGATTTCTGGACATAAAAGGAAACCCCTAGCATGTTTACATTGATTATAGTGAAATTCGTYGTATGCTACATAGTGTTCCTTATTCTTACTTATAGCTAAAAAYTTATGACTAGGTGCAATATACATACAATTTATAATATTTTGACAATAAGGTTTAGGTATTAAGTGATATAAAATGAAATTGTTTTGATATATTAATGGTATGGTTATTACAAATACTATGTTATTATTAGAGTAATATATTTTAATATCTGACAGTTTTAGTATGTCGTTAACGGTTTCAATTGATAGTTCATAAGGAAAATCTGTCCCTATAGGTAGAGAGACCCTAATGTCCTGGAATTGCTCCAGTAGTTCATTTGGTTCTATCAAATATGGATGTATTTGTCCTAATYTCGCATTTTCAATAATTGTTGATAAAATGTCTATTTCTATCATATATTTGGTTAAAAGTAAGTTCATATATGAAAAATGTCTAAATACATAGTTATTTATTTGTTGTTCTACCGTTATGTTTTAATCGTTTAACTGTTCGAGAAACCCCGGAATGTCCACCCAAAGGAGAGTTATGATATTCATAAATAATTTGTTGTTTCTCACTATCCGTAAAACTTTGTTCTTTATAAATGCTAACAGTTATATCAGTCCCTTTAAAAATAAATCTGATCATAGATCGCGTGCGTTCAAAACTAGTCATGGTTGTTACTCCCTCTAATCGAATCGTAGAACAAGTGTTAATTTTATTTGATAAACAAATTTGTTTCATTATATTAAATGCATTAAAAATTTGTTGTTCCGTTAACGTAGTAGTATGCATTTCTTTTAGTTTATAAAATATTATAGTACGTGTTAGATTATTAATCACTATACTATTTTCGTTTTCATTAAACTTTGGAAGGTCAAGATTGTACGTCTCTATAATCSATCTAATTGCTGGATGCGTGATTATCTTATCGTTTGAAATTG